TGCACTTAAGAGTACTGAGTGATCGTTTGAGAAAGCCATTAGAGCAGAGACCAGTAGTTGAATCTCAAATCAGAAGAGGAAACAAAAGCTGGTGAGTAAATAATTCTCGTTGACTTCACAATTCCTAATGCGCAGTGGCATAAGTGTTATTTATTTTGAACTATTATTTTTCGGATCCTGTGTTCACAAGCACACACCAGTTAATCTAGAAAACCGTTCACTCGTTGCAATTTACGGTTATACAACCACTAAAGGTACATGTGGGAACCATCAAACTCGAATTTCATTCCGATCAGAGCTTATCAATGATATACAGACACTGACTGGATCTATCCGATATTATACTCTCTGGTTCTTTCCCTTTGAATCTGTCTGGTCAAATGAACAAACGATGCTAACAAGCTCGGGACTGAGCGTCAATGCCCGTTGAGAATGGTTCACATTTTCCATGCGAGTTATCCGGGGTAAGAACTAATCCCGAAGTGGGTCGATGAATAGCCTGATGAGTTCTGACGAGAGCGAAACTAAAACCTGTTGTTTGACTAAATCAATTGTGTATAGGATGAAAACGTTTCAAGGATGGACTATTCGAAATCAGTATGTGCTTCGTCTAGCATTTCTAGTCACAGGAATGTCTGTTCGAATCACTGACGCTGGATAGCAATTTGATCACGAATTAACACTAGCGATCAATGAAAGAGCCTGGTATGGCGTCATCTCGATCAAGTGCGTCTGTTTGATGTGTCGACAAAGATACTCTGAATTGAGCCACTGGCTCCAAGTCAGATTACACGTTGTAAACGTTCATTGCAACATTGAAAATCAAATGCGATAGGCGAAGCAAAGTGCTTTTCGATGAGTTCATCAACTGGCCATTTAATATTGCTTGATCTAATACGAGGTGGATCTTATAACCCGATATACAAAGCGATTCTACATGCGTCCGCATTTTGATTGAGCTGCACCTTGTTCACGACATTTGGAGTTACCACACCTGAATCCGTTTGTCGCCTGGCGACTGACTATGGTAGAGATAAGGAATGAACGAAACGCTTCTGATTGTATAGCAGTCTTATTGGGATTACTTCAGCCTTACGCGGTAGAATGATGTGTGCTAATTTAGACGATAACGATGGAACACGATGAACGGTTTTGCAATCCCGACGTTCGAGTAGATGTTGGCATACCGCGCTTTTCGCTCACCTCGTTTCTTCGTATTCCAACCAACAAGGAGCACATTTTTAATGCGAAAGTACTGTGCGTTCTCGCAGCGCCGTTCCCTCACCCTCATACATCGCCCGCAAAGCCTCGTATCGTCTCAAGCTGAGAGAACATGAGTCAAGGGACGCATCTCCGCTCACTCCGCTGCACCGCGAGAGCCAGAGGTACGCTCGCACTACACATACACTAAGGAAGCAGAGCGCATCAGTTTCTCTACATCGCCTGCCATTTGTTTCCACCTTAAGGACAGGAAATGTTATAAGATCTACCGCGCAATGGATCAAACAATATTAAATGTTTTTTAACACCTCGGAAACAAATGATGTTAGGAGCGTATCGAAAAATCGATGCGCCATGTGTTGCTTTAAGGTATAGAGTTAATAACACAGCGATGTCGGTTTCAGTTTCGGTTACCGTGGGCAACATTTCTCAAGGCAGGTTTTACAATCAAATGACTCATAGGAAAGGATCACAAGTTAATTTTTGTTGAGTAACTCCAGAGTGAACGACTCACGCAAATTCACCACCAGCGTTCACAGAAAACCGACATATTCGGATAAACTTTTACATTTTGAATCAGCTCATCCGCAATGCGTGAAACGGACGCTTATCTCCTCTCTGGCAGACAGAGTTAAAAAAAACCCGTAAACAAAACAATAACCGCCAAATGGAAATGAAACGCCTCAAAGTGCTAGAAGACAATTATTATCCGCCACTCTTGGTAAGATCCCAGTTGGAGGCCAACAAACCAATGACAGAAAAGACCGTGTAGCCTCTATTGGTATTCTATATAGATCAGACACTTTAGAAGCAATCAGAAAGGTTCCCGGCGATTTCAACATACACGTATTGTTTCGGGTTGACAACACTCTGAAACGCCATCTCGTGAAAGCCAAAGATCCGGTCGAATTGCAAGATCAAAACAATTGCATTTACAAAATNATTTCAAGACAAAAATAAAACGAACACAAGAGAAAAGCAAAGCACCGGCCTACGGACAAAGCAACTCTGGCAAAACTAGAACGAGACTCAGCGATCGCTCTTCACGCCATAGTCGAAGGTCACACGATAGACTGCGATAACCTTAAAATACTCCAAATCGGATTTCGAACATGCACTGAACGCTCGTATGTCGAAGCCATTAACAACCACTCTGCATGCGTCAACAGAAATGACGGAACCGATATTTCGAGCATTTGGACTACCCTAACGCGCAATCACGACAAAGGTCACGGTGTCACTTGATCCCATCTGATAATGGGAGTTAGTATGATGGACAACGAATCATTCAGCACACCAAACACACACGATGAAATATCCTTTAACCTGTGATCCTTTCCTATGAGTCATTTGATTG